CAGTATTGGCCAATCTTCTATAAAATCTTAGAAAGTGAAATTAAGCAGTATAATCACACTTATAGATCAAATACTATGCAGCTCTTTGAATTAAAGTGTATAAACAATGTTTTGCCAGTGTTTGAAAATCTTAATTGAAGAAAACCTAAATTATACAAAAACTGATAGATGTATTATATACAATAAAAAAACAAAAAATATTGAATATCTAGTAATCTATAAAGTGTCAATAAAGCTAATCTGAGATATTAAAGAGCAAGAAGTAGAGATAACTCTTAATGAAATAGAAGAAGTACAAAACTTGGCTAAAAAGAAAGAGAAGCTTCTAGTTATGATAGAAAAAGAAAGCCTTGCTGCCGAGCTATGAAGAAGATAGAGATGGATAAGAGGTTTGATTACAAAAGAGGACTTCACTAAAATAATGCCAATTTTTATATTCAATAAACAAGCTAGAGACTTCATAGTAAGGCTTTAAAAGAGATGAATGAAAAAGGTATATGAAAAGATTTAAATTAAAAGATGTAAATTAGTGCAGAACTGGGAGAAGAAAAACAGTATAATGTGAAAAGAAAAGTGTGATTTTAACACAGATACTAAGAGAAAACAAAAAAAGAAGAAAAGAAAAAAGAGAGCAAATGAGAAGAAGGTTCCAATTGATAAGACCTACAGAGAGAAAAAACAAAAGAATGAAGCCGACACAAGATAGGAATCAATTTTAAATATAGCGAAAAATGAAGTATTGAGTTGGATAAAAGGTAGGCATAGAGTAAACAAATTAGTAGTCTTGACAGGCCGTAAGAACTATCTAATGAAATATTAATGAACTTGTTTGCAAGATAAATCAATATGGAGGTAAACCTTACTATAGCAGATCATATATAGGTATTCGTTGAACAATCAGGTAAGCTAATACTTGTAAATTAAGTATCAGAGAGATAGCTCACTGAAAAATTTAATATTTCAAAGTATAATATTATTAAACCTAATAAAGTAGAGGCAAAACTGCTAAATTTTTTCTTTTAAAAAAAAAACTACTGAATATCGTATTCAAAATATTGTCATTTCTTTCTCCATCTGTAACCTTATCTAGAGAAAATATTTAACTATTTCTAAACATAAATTTCACCTTTCTCATTCTATTTCTAACAATACTTATTATGTTTAATTACAATTTTTATAATATCTATAGCTTATGGAATATACAGCTACAACATCATATTAGTAACTTTTTCAACTGTATTAACAATATATTAACTCTTAGTTTAACTATATATAACAGACTTCAACAACTTCAAAATAATCTTTGGTCTACTACCAATATTTTTCAATACCCTAACCCTCTAATAGATAGCCCCAATAGACATACTGCTACTTTTAAAATCATACAACTCTTTAACTCTCTTTGTATATTTATTTATTCTAGCCCTAATTTATTTTGGCTACAAACAACATCTAGTAGTAGCTCTTTCCTTAAAAATATTCTTTCTCACTATTCCAAATATTTTACTTTTAAACAGTAACTTCACCACAAAAATATTTTTTTTCTTGAACAATTATACTCTACTAATAATAGCACACTACTTGATTGGTTCCACCTCTCTCCCAGATTACTTTATATTCCCAAAAGGAAAATGCCTAACTTTTTTTATCTAAAAAATACTATTTTATCACATTTCTTCTTTTATACTATTATTTCCTCTTTTCAACCTTCTGAACTTAACTCATTTGTATATCAAACTAATTTAATTAACAAATCTCACAAGCCCTAGGTGCTTGTCTGCTATAATAATAATATTATTATTGGTTAAGTTTGTAAAGTCTTTTATTAATTCAACTCAATTTCTATTACTCACTATTTTTCACTAGCAACATAATATTAATTCTTTCCTTTTAACTTGTTATCCTCTTTCTTCTATCACTTGTAAGCCCTGCCAAGGCTATAGTTTAAACTTCTTTTATATCTCTAATCACTATATACTTGAAGTTTTTTCAATTCTTTTTACTAAATTCTTTGGTAGAAAATCTAATAATTAATGCCAACTATATTGATTTTATTTATTCTATTACTTTTAAAAACCCACTCAAGATTCTATTTTTATCTTCTATTAATATTGTAGACTTTTCTACTTCATCTCTTTTTTATAACAATATCACTTCCAATAATCTGCTCCAAATTGCTCTAGCTAATTAATCTTATCAACAGTTCACTTTTTATGCAGATGGCTCTGTCAAAAATCTTGGTACTAAGAAATGTACTATGGGTATTAGATGGGCTCAAGTTTATAATAACTCTATTATTTATAATTTTTCTACTCAAATCTTTAACTGGCTCTTGTCATATAATGCTAAGCTTCTTGCTATCCTCTTTGCTATTTCTACTTTTCTGTATAATTTTTCTATTAATATTTATACAAACTTCCAATTTGTAATCTCTAAGTACAATAAGCTTTTCCAAACTTCTTACTCTACAACTAAATATTTTAAATTCAATTCTTGGCCAATCTGGTATACATTTATTAACTCAATTAAAGCATATAATATTGACTTAATTTTTTAAAAAGTTCAAGCTCACAGTAATAATACTTTTAATAATCTAGCTAATCACTTTGCTAATAATTATATATCTTCTCCAACCCTATTGTTTAATTATAATAATATACATAACTCTTATTTCTTTCTTTAATAGAAAAATTTCTCGATTGATAGCCTTTCTAGATGCTTTATTAAAAATATCTCAATGCTAATACTATCTTTATATAGTTTTTTCAAAGATGTACTGATGAATAGTCACACTTTTCCAACCTTATTAACTAGAATTCTACATGGCTCTGCTTTAACAATAATTATAAATATTTACACAGTTTTATTAATCCTAAACTTAGTTATCTTAAATTTTTTAAAATTAAAATGTTACTTAATAGTTTACCTACACACTTTCATTTTCATTCTATAATTTCTTATCTCAAATTATTAATTTTTTTATTTTAGAAATTATTTTGAATGCCAACTTTAATCTTGCTTCTTATGAACTTAATTACTTAATACATACAATTTTATCTCACCCTTCTTTTTCTCTTCATCCTTTTACTCTCTATTCATACTCCCTTCATTCTACTCTTAAAATCTTATCTCTTCTCTGCTTGTCCAATGCATATTACCATTTAACATAATTTATTCAATAGCTTTGCAGCTAATTATTAAAATTCTTATCAAAATTTTTAATCAAATCTATAAATAAATATAGAATCATATTGTATTAACTTTTCTACCTGGAAAAAAGCATACCAAATATCATCAAATTCTATCTCTACTCAAGTTAATCAACAATCTTATACCTGTCTTTATACCAAAACTCATAATACTTTTACATATAACTATCTATACAATTTACCTAATTAACTATATTCTAATTTCTTTTCTTGCCTCCTAGCTGGGCTCACTAAATGTAAATTTAATATCTGGTTCACTTTGTAGATCTAGTTCAGTATTCTACTAATTATATATTAACTAATCAAATTTAGGTAGTCTTGACCACTCTAGTAAGTTTAGATCACAGATAAATAATCAGTCTAAGCTTTTATTCTTGCATGTAGTTTATATTTATTCATTTATATATGAATTAAGTCTTCATTTAGTTTTGTTTCTTTATGATTATTTATATAAATTATCAATAAAGATATAAGCAAGGCCTCACCTTTTAATATTAAAAAAAAAACAAATTAAATTTTTATATAGTTAATATGTAATTACTTATATAAATTAATCAATAAAGATATGAGCAAGACCTCATCTTAATATCAAAAAAAAAATAAATAAAAAAAATAGTTTTAGAAAATTCTTAAAATATACCAATTATATATGAGAAAGATACTATTAAAAATAGCCTTCAAATATTGAACTAAAAGCTTCTAAAAATTTTATAATAAAGTAAGCAAATTCAAAATTAAACAATTTAATTCATATAACAAAAGATTTCTTTCTATTGACATCTTTAGAGAAAATGAATATCAGCATTGTTATAATAAAAAAATTGATACCAAGAAGTTTTTTGGCTACTAATAATATAGATCCAGATAAGATTTACTAAATACTAGAGGCCTTAGAGATGTGTTAACTATTAGCTAAAATTAATTTATTATAGAGCTCACTTCTTCGTTCCTTTCTAAGAAATTTAGCTATTCTAATTAATTATACAGTACAACCTCCCAAAACTGATCCTGTCAAAACTAATACCTGCTATAACTGATAAAAAATTAATCCACCATGTCTGTTCCATAATTAAAACCTGATAACTTGCCATTTCTGATAACTGATACCCAAAAGACAAATATCTATAATATATCGGGTTTGATAGGTAATATAAATTGATTTGATTAGCTCAGATCAGGTTTTGTGCAACCAATTATATATATAAGAAATATAATCTAGTCAATTGTATTTATCAGTTATCACATAACAGAGGCTATTGATATTTTAAATCAATTATTAAATCCAATAACCTCTCAAAACTAATACAAAAGCTGTCCACCATGCGTATCGGATTTGAGAAGGTATACTGTATATATATATTTAGATCTAAATTTTATTTATTCTAAGATATTAGCTAATACCTATACTACCCCAACTAAAATTTTAGCAAATTCTGCAAATTTAATTGGTCAAAAAAATGTTAGCAAATTAAAATCAAAGAGTGAATAAAATATCTAGAATTTTCAGTATAACTTTACTAGTGTTATTTGGGGCATGCTAATTATTTAGATTTTTTATAAAAAATTCTACAAATTTATTAGTAAAATTTCAAAACCTCTATACTATATTTGCATAAGTTAATAGACTTAATCTTCTTTATTGTAGATAAAGTTTCTGTAGAACTTAAAAATTGAGAAAATGTTAATTGCACAAGTATTTTCTATCATTTCTGTATATAATAGGTATAAAGAACAATATATATATTGTGGAAATGTTATTAATTTTCTGCAAGACTAGCAAGAATTTGTAACATGCCTTCCACATGGTCTGTATCATTAGATATGCTTGTAGTTAGGTGATGTTTGACTAATAGATTTCATGACTTTAATATTCACAAAAAGATAATAATACAAGCTCTTAACTAGTTAAAAACAAATAATATATTTTATCAAGATATCACAATTGATGATGATGTTATTATACAATCCTTACATGAAAATGGTTCAATTATTTAACAACTTTCATGGCTTGCAAACAATAAAAATGATAACCAAAATGAGCAAAGTATAGTTAGAAATAAGCTAGACAATGTATTAAATAAAGATGTGTTCATTTTACAAACCTTTGTTTCTTCTCTATCATCTGGGCAAAGTGAAAATAGTGCAATATTTCTATTTTGTTAAGCTAATAAATTTAATGATGATGATTGTAATACTTATATCTTACGTGTATTTATTGGTTTATATAGTCGAATATGTATAAGGATAGTTTAATTTAGTAATATGGGCTAAAGATTTTAATACGTTTTGTAAAAAGTAGATAATAGAAAAGTAGAATAAAATTACTATATAATTAATAAAAGTAAAGCTTCGTCAATAATATTACTATGATAATAAATATAATATCGATATTAGATTTTTTAATGTGATTGGGTAGTGATCGACATTTCATGCAAATATCACAATAAATTTTTGTTGATTGGTTAATAGTCATGTTTTGATCACGTATGTGATAAAATCGAAAATTGTGACATATTGAATGGAGTCCATATGTCGATCTCCAATAAAGGATCTACTATTCATTGACAATAATCGGAATAATACAGTATTAGTATGGGCCATTGTGCAATTATCACAGGTTGAATCAATGAATATCGGGTACATGCGTACCAGTTTTTCGGCCTAAACTGCCCCAAAGTCCGAAACGTTTCGCCCTATAAGTCCGAAAACGATCTGCAAAATCGGGAGACAAGTTTTTTGATATGGGAAGAAATCAATAAAAATGGGACAAATTTTTTCTAAGCAAAAGTTTTTAAAACTTTAAATATCTCAACTATAAGACCAAATTTAATGAATTTTTTTATATTTTAATTCTAGATAGTTGTAGAATTAACTCGGTGTATATCTGATATTCATTGATTCAACCTGTGTATATCAAATTTCTCAGTGGTTGTACAACCCAAATTTCGAGACTCTAAATTAATGGCGTGCAATCAGATCCAATGTTAATTAATTTTCATAAAAAATTCAGTAATTTCATTATTACTTTTAATAATGGTTAAGTTAAAAAGATTTGAGATTATTTAAGAATTATCTGCATCATGTACATTTAGACATCTTCAAGCAGTGTCACTTTCGGTTTAATTGCCAAATTTTTTCTTTTAATTTATTTGTAATCTTTTCACATGTAAATATAGTCGATTTTGATCGACTTGATTCAAATCATTATTTTCAAGATTTACAATAGAAAATAATTTAGTATGGAGTTATAAAATCCTAAATAACAATAACTTATATGTGGTTGCCAGAATCTAAATGGTTGCCATATATAATCGAATATCAATTTAATATTGTATAAACTTTTTTTTAACTGGTTTGAAAATAATTTCGAAATATTATAATTTAATAAAAAAAAAAAACTCTTAATATAATATAAATTCCTCGAGTCTCAACTGAAATAACTTTTTAGTTACCTTGAAAAAATTTTTGTAATATTATAATTTAAAAAAATTAGATATATTCTTAATATAAATTCAAAGATGACTGAAATCAATACAACGATACCAATTGAAGAATCATCTGGCATAAAGCTTGATCCAGAAGAAGACCGAATTTTAAAGGATCAGATTAGTGTTCCTGAAAGAAAAGAATCATATATTACTTTATACCGATTTGCTACAAAATTTGACTGGATAATAATGTTTATTGGGTTAGTGTTTTCAATGGTCACGGGGACCATCATGGTAAGTGCATAATGCTTCACTTTTTACGCAATTTATATTTCTAAAAATCCTTAATTTATGAATTCCATATAAATTGGCAGCCTCTAACATCGAACTTTTTCGGAGTAATGGTCGATAATTATGCCCGTTTTCAAAATCACACTATAAGCATTAACGAGTTTACTGAAAGTGTAAACCACATTACAGTAATTTATGTATTCATCGCCATTGCCGCTTTCATTGTTACATATATATCTATAGCTACTTGGGTATATACTGGTGAAAGGTAATTTTTTTTACATAATATTAACAACAAATATGTCGATAATTCAAAATCGATACTCGTTACTTTCAGAATCGCAAGGCAAATCCGTGAACAATATCTTCATGCAGTTCTTAGGCAAAACATAGCTTATTTTGACAAATATGGCTCAGGTGATGTTACTACTCACATTACTTCTGGTATACATATGATACAAGATGGTATTAGTGAAAAAGTTTCTCTCGCTTTTCAAGTAAGCTTACGTACACATAAAATTGTGTTTTTATGTTCATTTATTAATATTTATTTATTTATTTATTTTCTTTTACCATCATTTTTGTATATTGGTTCATATTTTACAGTATATTATACAATTCATTGTATCATTAATTATCGCGCTTATTATAAATTGGAAAATGACACTCGTGATAAGCTACCTTACCTTTTTTATTGTTTCCATTAGTGGTTTAACGAGTAAATATGGCGCAATTTTTACGAAAAAAAGCTTGACTTTCTATTCTCGTGCTGGAAAGATCGCTGATGAAGCTATTTCAACCATCAGAACTGTGGTGGCCTTTGGTGCTCAAAAGAAACTTTCTAAACTTTATGATGCTTACTTAAGTGATGCAAAAAAAGAGGGGTATA